TATAATATAAAAACTATAGAAAGCACAGCTCATATAATAATAATAATAACAATAATAATAATAATAAAATAATAATATAAATAATAATATACGCCATAATATTCTGTGAGAATAATTATAATTACATTGATTATACTTGTTGATGTGTAATTTTTTAAAATAAGAAGCACAGCGAATAAAGCCCAAACAAGCAAATATATGAGTGTGTGTGTGTTTGTATTTGTCTGTATGTGTGACTCTGCATGCGTAACTGTGTGTGTGTGTGTGTCTGTGTATGTATGTGTGACTATGTGTGCGTGTGCGTGTGTATGTTAAATATACAATACATATATGTAAATATATATATATATATATATATATATATATATATACCAAACCGACAATAACAATATAAATAACAGTAACACGCACACATTAGCAACAACAACAGCTACTATACATGAAATCGAAAGTATATGGTCATAGAGTGAAATTATGAATAATTATTATACATATTATAAATTGTAAATAAAATTATGATTAACTAAACATTAGACATGTGAAAAAAAATCAAAAGCAGAACTTGATTTTAACTAAAGTAGGAATAACTGGAAATACGAATCATATATATATATATATATATATATATATATATATATACAGAAAAAGAGAGAGGAGAGAGAGAGAGAGAGAGAAGAGAGAGAGAGAGATTGAGAGAAAAATCAACTCATAAACATACCAAGACATACCAAGCAAAAAGTACAGCCATGAAATTTTATTTTTTAACAAAAAAATAGAGTTTTGCTTCAAAACAATAGATGTGAACTACTAACTGGTGAAGGAAACTTAACAGAAAAAATGTAAATTTGTATGACAATCTCGAAATCAATAATAGTAAACCTAGCAAGGATTACAACAAAACTTTACATCTTTACAACAGAGATGTAAACCTAGCAATGATTACAACAAAACTTTACATCTTTACAACAGAAATGTAAATTTTTACAGATATTTTAAACCGAAATTTAGCTCGTTGCAAATAACTGCAGAGAAACACGTCAACTCGATACCAACTAGATTGTAAACATTTACACAGATTTATATCGAGCAGAATAAAAATATTTCTCAGTAAAATCCGAAAAATTGTAAAAAAAAAACATTTTGAATGAAGATTCTTTTGTGGATAAAACCGGCTTAATCTCTGCAATTGAATAAATTATTAAAAAAAAAATAAATTAAAAATAACCATAAAAATAAGAATAATTATAATTATCATAATAAAAACAGTATTAATAAACAACACAAATAATATATATATATATATATATATAAACTTAAATTATATATATATATATATATATAAACTTAACGGAAAATACAAAGCAGTATAGACAGAATAAACCCTGAGGCAATGAAAGTGAAAAAAAATATGAAAGATTTTTTTTTTAGAAAAATATTTAAAATAATTATAAAATATGTGTGCTATAATAATAATGTATATTTGTATGTGTGTGTGTCTGTTTGTATGTATGCGTTTGTTTGTTTGTATGCGTGTGTGTTTGCGCGTGTTGTAATTACAATTATATATATATATATATATATATATTTATATATTACTTATTTGTATGTGTAGATATGTGTGTGTGTGTGTGGATGTGAGTTTAAGTGTGTGTATGTAACTATGTGTGTGTGTTTGTATGTGAGTGCGTGTATATGTAACTATGTATGTATGTGTGTGTGTGTGTGTGTGTGTGTGTGTGTGTGTGTGTGTGTGTGTGTGTGTGTGTGTATGTGTGTGTGTGTGTCTAGAGTTCTAGAGTCTAGATAAAAACGAATCGAAGCAAAAGATATGTACAAAGGTATTATTATGTAAAGTATTCACTAGCAAGTCAACATAGTAAAGGAAAGTTAATATAGTATGACCAAGTAACATTACTAACTTTTTACACTGCAATCATTTAGTAGTTTAAAGACACAGTACTTGCATTAAAGATTTAGTGGTATTAATTAGTATTAGTGTGTTTTAGTACAACTGTATGTAAATCAGTAATGTCGATGATGATGTTGTTGTTGATGTGGTTGTTGATGTTGTTGTTGTTGTTGATATTGTTGATGTTGTTGTCGATGTTTTTGTTGTTGTTAATTTTGTTGAGATAAACAGCTAACTAGTTTGATGTAAGATTTTGACCTTGGTTGTTTGATGTTTGTTTTGTAAAGAAGGACAACTTCAATGTAAAAATATTGTAGAATATTGTAGACAGATGAACTTAGAAAAAAGCAATAACGAAATCACATAAATAACATTATTAACAGTAATCAAACAACAACAACAACAACAATTACGACAACATTTACAACAACAAATACGTCAACATTATCAACATTAACAACAACAACAATAACATAAGGCTAACGCCAAAAACACAACAACAATTACATCAACGACACAAAACAAAAATAACAACATCAACACAACAACTGTAATAATATTTTGATGTGACATCAATTAGCATCCATCAGCATATTTGGCGCTTGTTCAGCCATGTGTACAACACTCGAAGCGTACAAAACTCTCTCTCTCTTTCACACACACACACACACACACACACACACACACACACACACACACACACACACACACACACAGATATATAATTTAAAAAGTATTTTTGAAGCCAATAAGCACATACCTAAGCAACATCAAAAAATGTCTACAAGGTTTATGTATATCATATGAATCTAGATGAAAAATATTTAATATTTTATTATATAATAATAATATTACATAATATAATATAATTATTATCATTATATAATAATAAAAATAAGGAAAAGTTTCACATTTTTTTCATGAATAATTTGCGTTCAAAGCCGGTCAGTGCTTTGACCATACAGCATCTCTTCACCGAAATTCAAAATTTGCAAAGATTTCACACCGAATCAAACGAAACAATCAATCAATCAATCAATCGATCGATCGATCGATCAATCAATCAATCAATTAATCATTCAATCAATCGATCGATCAACCAGCCAGCCAACCACCCAACCAAACTACTAATCAATTTTTTAATATTGTTTGAATGAATGAACTCTGCTTCTACCCTGGTGGTCTCCGGTTTTAAAGTTATGTTTATCATTATTATTATGAATATTAATATTATTATTATGAATATTAATATTATTATTATGAATATTAATAATATTATTATCATAATTACTATTATTTATAGCAGCAGTAGAAACGCTATGATCAGTGATAACCACATCATCGTCGTCGTCGTCATCATCATAAACAACGCCATCCCCATCATCGTCGTCGTCATCATCAATGAAGCTGATGGCATCTTCATCATTAAGGACGGACGGGTCGAAAGGGCCCTGCTGGCAATTTGAGTTTGCCCTCAAATATGATTGGTTGGTTTTTATGGGGGTCACGTGGCTGCTTATAGCCAATGGGAGTTGTTTTTGTTGGTGTGGTTGCGGAAATGGTTTAACCAATAGTTGTTGTTGTTGCTGTTGTTGTTGTTGCTGTAAAATATGTTGTTGCAAAAGTTGTTGCTGTAAAAGTTGTTGTTGTTGTGAGAGTTGTTGTTGCTGTGTTAGTTGATGCTGAGGTTGTTGTGGTTGGTGTGGTTGCTGTAGTGGTGGTTGGTGCAGTGGTGGTTGAGGATAGTGCATTAATGGGTGACAGTTGAGGAGATATTTAGGAGAACTACTGGTCAGCATCTCATTAGGTGGAGGAGGTAGTGCATCATTCCCACATTCCCCACCAATCCTCCCATTCATCCTGCAACTTCCTTCACTACTTCCGCTGTTACGTCCGCGTATGGTGAAGCTGTCGTAGGCGCCGCTGTCGTCTGGACCGCACGGAAATCCCGTTCCTCCATACAGCAACATGTCGTTGGTAGTGCAGTCGACACTTTTGTAGCCACCATCATCTTCGTCGTCGTCGTCGCCGCCACTGACAGCAGAATCGTCGTTGTTAGGTGCGTCGTCATCATCGTCGTCGTTTTCGTCATCATCGAGCTTCGTTGTCGTCAGTTTGAGCATCTCCTTCCAGGCCTGACTCTGTTTCGACTTTTGGTTCTTATCCTCCATCATCTGCATGACTGAGGCAGTGCGGTTGACGACGACTTCCATCTTGCGCGAGCGAGGTAGCGTCGACGATAGCGGCCAGGATTGTTGTTGTTGATGTTGTGGCTGCCGTGGCTGCTGCTGTGGCTGCTGCTGCGGACCGTTGTTTGTGGCGTTGTTTACGTTATTGAACGGTCTGACAACATAACCGCAAGCAGCATTAGCGCGAGGTAGCGACTGATAGCGGCTGGCAAATGGCGAATTTTCTGTGACCTTACTGACCTTTCTCATCGTTTTCAAGGTCAAATTATCAATGTCATCTTCTTCTGCAATTTTCACCTTATGACTCGCTTCCGGAACGGAAGTCACGTGGTACTTGCCGGAAGTTAAATTTTGCGGTGGAGATGATGACGACGACGAGGATGAAGAAGATAATGATCGCCGACGATTGCGAATCGCGAACGCAATTACCACCGTGCTTAAAACCGTCAACAAACCCACAGCAAAAACAACCATAGTGACGGACATGCTCTTCCAAAATTTAGGATCTTTGGTTATTTCCGGTTTGACGGATGGTTGCCTGTTCTTGGAGAGGATGGAAGATCTGCTAAGCATGTTTGCCTCGTCTGATTGCATGTACATCGCTGATTGGTTGGTTGGATGAATGGATGGATGGATGGATGGATGGACGAAAAAGTAAATTAAAGAAAGGATGAAATATTCGTGTAGAATGTGCGATTGTTTGTGTTTCGTTTACTGTGGCTGAATTTGTATTTTTATAAAAATGATTAAACTTTATTTATCGCATAATACACAGGGTATTTTTAAAAAAATCTCTTTCTCTCTCTTTCACTCTCTTCACTCTCTCTTTCTCTCTCTCTCTCTCTCTTTCTCTCTCTCTCTCTCTCTCTCTCTCTGCAAACATAAAATGAACATCTTCATCATCAAACATTGCCCGTATCTTCATCAGATTTTACTCCTAATTCTCGTAAACCACCGCTCAATTATCATCGTCATCGTCATCATCACCATCACCATCAACACAATTTTTCCATCACTACAGCCACCCCAACTAAACCAACCATCATCTCCCTTCTCTTCATTGCCATCTTTCCCGCCACGACGACCACCAGAAGCTGGTGGTAGTGGCTGGGGCTTCGTGTTGACGTGAAATTTTACTAGACCGCTCTGGCCAACGACGTTGCAAGCCGAGACGAGGACCAAGTAGCTACAGTTCGATTCCAGGTTCGTTATCTCTAGATGGTTGCCTGGTCAGGTAATAATGTTCAATAATGTTCACAACTTCAAAACCTAAAACAATAGGATCGTAAAAATATATTAACACTAGCATAGCCAAAGCTCTAATTTCTCAAGTTTTCAAATCCAAAAAAACTTTTATTTAGTAAAATATAATATCAGCGGACTGGAAAGTTTCACTTTATGGCCACTTATTCAAAGAGTGCAATGTACTTAAGAGCAAGATATGAAATTAAAATACAAAGAATTGTATGATAAATTGTTTTTGAACATGGTTTGTAGACATAGAATTCATTTTTTAATGATCTGCTGGTCTTTTGTTGCGTTGGCTGGTTCTCGAGAAATATTTCCTTTCATAAAGCGTTTCTTGTGTAATTATCACCAATCAAAACGTCATCAATGGGATTTTATATTCAATTACGCCTGTGACATCGTTACAAGCAGCATTAAGCAGCATTGTTGCATCTGCCATCTTCATCATCATTCTCAAATGACTAACTGTTGGCAAATGAATGAATGATGAAATCTTTATCAGACGACGATGACGATGATGACGTCAACAATTTTCTATACTTAACAACCCATGACGTGATTGGTGGTATGGACGGACTGGCGAGTGAATTTGAATAGTTTGAAGTTGTTTGCAGGGTGAACGAGTTGATCGTCGTGTTCACCACCAAGATGTTTCTAGGGACCGACGGTACGACTGGCGATTGAAATATGAAACAAATGAGTTTATTTAAATTTATTTCACCGTATGATGAAATTAAAGATGATTTTGTTAACTTTGTAGAAGATAAATAGGTATATTAATTATCAAATTTTATAAAAATAAAGAATTTATTCTTCATTATGTTGTATTGTAATAGACTGTTGTTTCTCAGTGACTGGCACAAACAAACATACACACACACATACACATGCACACACACACCCACACACACACATTTTCACGTACACACAAACACCGCATACAGACAATCATACATACAAACATACATAAATACACACACAGAAACAAAAAAACATACAAGCTTGAAGCAGTTGCATGTTTTTAGCCTGGAAGCCGTGTGCATTCTTTGCTACGCATGAATAATTATTGTACAGGCTGTATTCTAGAGAATGATCCAGCGTCATCTGTATGCGTGTGTGTGCGTGTGTACGTGTGTGCGTGTGTACGTGTGTGTGTGTGTACGTGTGTGCGTGTGCTTGGAATAGTTTTTGCAAAGCAAACAAATGAATCTATCTTAATTAAGTTTTGTTTGCGTTAAAGAAAGAAAAATATTATGAAAAAATTATCTTGAAGACAAATTTATGTTGCTAGGTTAAATGACAGATGGAATGAATGAAGGGAAAAATAAATAAATGAATAAATGATGAACGAAGAACTGAATGAAAACACAAAAATGAGTAAATAAACGAACTATGAACAAACAAACAAACGGACGAAACGAAACGAAACTTAACATACAAGCATACCAACAAACCTCTAAGCTACTAATAATGGTGTCGGGACTTTCCACTCTGTTATAAATAGTATGATGAGGTGTTGATGATAGCAAAGTATTTTGACCTTTGAACCACAGTACAGACGGAAGTGGAAAGCCGACAGCTTGACAACTGAACTTACGTTTTTGTCCTAACCATGCATACTGAACCGGATTCTGACTCCCTGTTATAATGGCCGGATCTGTGGAGAAATACATTTTTAACATCACCATCGTCATCATTGTGGTCATCATCATCATCATCGTCGTCATCATCGCATCAACTTACATTGCACAACAACATGCACACTCATCTCATCAGTCCCTGCCATATTTGTAGCGACGCACGTGTAGTAGCCACCGTGTTCCTTCGCCACACTTTCAATCAGTAGCCTACTCATTCCGCTGGCGTCCGTTCTTATGATGACGTCATTTCGAGTCGGTTCCTGATAATGATTGTAATTGAAGGGATGAATGAATGAACAAATGATAATGGAGAAAGTAAATGAATAAAAAACGAGTCAACCAATCAATCATCACACACACACATGCATGAAAAAATGAATGAATAAACGAATGAATGAATGAACGAACGAATGAATGAATGAACGAACGAATGAATGAATGAACGAACGAACGAATGAATGAATGAACGAACGAATGAATGAATGAACGAACGAATGAATGAATAAACAAACAAATGAATGAATAAACAAACAAATGAATGAATAAACAAACAAATGAATGAATGAACGAATGAAAAAAATTCACTCGATCGGTCAATGGGGCAGTCAAACATTCAAATACTAACGCTAACTCTCCCTCTCACACTCATGGCGCCATTTTCCTTCGTTGGACCTTAAAATTTTTCATTTCATTTAATTCTTTCATCAGAATTTTACAATTAATTAAAACTAATTAGTTTCGAACTTCCTAATAAATAATAATAATAACTAGAGATAAAAGCGTTAAAAAAACTAATTAGTCATAAATGAATGAATGAAGGAATGAATGAACGAACGAACGAAAGTACGAACAAAAGAACGAACAAAAAGAACGAACAATCGAACGAACGAATAAATAGAAGAATGAATGAATAAACGAGTGAACGAACGAACGAAAGAACGAACGAACAATAATTATAATTATAATTACTTAAATGGGCCGTGATATTTCTTTTATATTGCGCGTACGTCCATGTCCAACTCAGGCTGGCCATCGGGGTGCTGGAGGCCTCACAGAGTAACATCACCCTCTCCCCAATCAAAACTGGATCACGTGGTCTGCTTAATTTTACTTTTGGAGGAACTGTGTGTGTGTGTGCGTGCGTGTGTGTTGTGTGTGTGTGTACGTGTTGTGCGTGTGTGTTGTGTTGTGTAGAGTATGTGTGTTTGCTGCGTGTTGTGTGCGTGTGCGTGCGTGTGTGTGTGTGTGTGTGTGTGTGTACAACACAATACAAAACGATACGATACGATACAATACAAATTATTAGACCTCCTCAAATGAACAAATCAAATGGAAGTTGGGTCATACTTTTATGTGTATGTGTGTGTAGTGTGCGTGCGTGTAATATGTGTATGTGTGGACATCCGGACATCATGTATGTGGTGTGAACAACATGTGTGTGTGTGTGTGTGTGTGTATGTGATTGTGTGTGTGTGTGTGTGAGTAAAGTATTTTCGTTAGATTACTAAAAAATACAGTTTATATTTTTCTAGGTACGTTATTATCATAAAATATCTAGGTCACACTCCAACCAACCAGCGACGTGTAGATCGGTGGTGACCTCATTTCGGCCGTACTGATTGGTCACCAGGCAGGTATAGCGGCCCTCGTCATCGTAACCTACTTTCCTGATGACGTAAGAACCTGTGGTGTTACTCTTGTGTAGGAGTTTGCCGCGGTGGGGATCGCCCTGGGTGGTCGTTTGCGATGACGATTGTGGTGATTGTGGTGATGAGAATAATGATGATTGTGGCGATGATGATCATCATTATTATGAGAATAATGATGATAATACTACTACTAAAACTACTACTACTATTACAACTAATACTACTACTACTTCTACTACCACTACTACTACTACTACTACTACTACTACTTCTACTACTACTACTACTTCCACTACTCCTATTACTACTACTACTACTGAATAATTGGTGATAATAATGTGGTGATGAGAATAATGATGATTGTGGCGATGATGATCATCATTATTATCAACACCAATATTTTCATCATCATCATCATCCTAAAGTTTTGTCACAACCACAACCATCATCATCATCATCATCATCATCATCATCATCATCATCATCATCATCATCATCATCAAGACCTTGAACCACTGGTAGATTGGTGGGGGGTAGGATGAGGCGCTACAATTCAAGATGGCGTCAGTCTCCTTCACCACCCGGATGGAGGAGGGCGCGTGCCCCAAGACCGGCGCATCTGAATGGTTGGAGATGGATGGATAAAATAATTAGATGCCTCTTTTATAATTTATCTATATTAGTTTTAGTATCGTTACTACTACTTCTACTACTACTACTACTACTACTACTGCTGCTACTACTACTACTACTACTACTACTGCTACTACTAATACTATTACTACTACTACTACTACTACTACTACTACTACTGCTACTACTAATACTACTACTACTATTACAACTAATACTACTACTACTTCTACTACCACTACTACTACTACTACTACTATTACTACTACTACTACTACTACTACTACTACTACTACTACTACTACTACTACTACTTCTACTACTACTGCCACTACTACTATTACTACTACTACTACTGAATACTAACACAAGACAAACACAGAAATCTTGATCGATTAAAAGTTCCTCTGTTGACGTTGTGGGCTATGCATTCATAAGTGCCGGCGTCGCTTGGCTGAGCGTCGTTCAGCCGCAAGCCACCGCTCAACTTCTCGTACTTTCGGCGGTCTGGATTGAAATTACGAAAATAATAATAATTATTATTATTTATTATAAAAATAATTATTGTTATAAATTAGGTGTTATTAATGGGTGTTATTGTTTCTTAAATTAGGATGGTTAATGAATTCTACAATAAAGACCATCAACCAGGCAAAAAATTAACCAGTCAATCAATCAAACTACCAATTATCAGCCAATCAATCAACCAACCAACTAACCAACCAACCAACCAATCAGCTAATCAATCAAACAACCAACCAACTAACCAACCATATTTAGAAATTTTCTTCCCATTAAACTTCCAGTAAATTTCCGGCATTGGACTACCACCGGCCTCACACCTCAACAACTCCGAGTGCCCCCTCATAATTTTTGGCGGGAAATCAGGACCTTTTAATTCTATTTCCGCTGCGTAGGTGTGTATATGTTTGTGTGTATGTGTATGTTTGCGTGTGTGTGTATGTGTGTGTTTATATGTGTATGTTTGTGTGTGTGTGTATATGTTTGTATGTGTGTTTGTTTGCGTGTGTGTGTGCATGCATTGTCGTGAAAGAGAATGAACTAACAATAAATGTAGAGCTTGTTGGAATCGAGGAGCATCATTCCGTTGTCGACCTTGACCTCACACATGTACGAACCCTCGTCTTCCCGGCTGACGTTCATCACGTACAACTTGTTCTTCTGCCTATCTATACGCTCGCTGTACACTCTGTGGAGGAGTGAATAATTGAATGAATGTTTATACGAACGAACGAACGAACGAACGAACGAACGAACAAATGAATGAATGAATGAATAAATGAATGAATGAATGAATGAATGAATGAACGAACGAACGAACGAACGAATGAATGAATGAAAAAGATAATCAGGTAGATAATCAGATAGATGATTGATGAATGAATGAGTAGAAAGATGGATGAATAAATGAATGAAAGAATGAAGAAACAAACAAGTCAAACAATCAAAAAATAAATGAGTGAACAAATGAATTAATTAGTAAACCAATTCTTCAATGAACAAAAAAGAATGAACGAGCAAACGAAAAAACACAAACAAACCAACCAACCCACCCACCTATCAACTTTTTCCCCAACGACCGCCTGGTTTGGGTCTTTCCACCTCATAGTCGGCCACCCTCTGACGTCATCGTCGTCGTCGTCATCGCGGTGATGATGATGGTAATGATCTTTGACGAGTTTATCAGAGATGATGCACGTGAATATGAAGTTGGAGCCCAGTTGGGTGAACTGATTGTCAGACGGTACAATTGATACTTCAGAACCTGTAGAGATAATTACATGTGTGTATGTATGTTTGTCTGTTTGTTTGTCTGTTTGTCTGTCTGTGTGTTTGTTTTTTTGTCTGGCTGGCTGGATGTCTGTGCGTTTCTGTCTGTCTGTCTGTCAGTCTGTGTAGTGCATTACATTTGATCAGGGGTCCCATTGAGATTGAATGCTAATTTGCATTGTAGGTGTGTGTGTGTGTGTGTGTGTGTGTGTGTGTGTGTGTAATTTTATAAACACGTCGTTGTAGAGATGTAGCGTGTAAGCTTTTTGCCGCCTAATTTGACATTCATTTGAGCATAAGTAGTTAAGTATGAAAAACATCAGGAATAATAATAGTAAAAATAGCAATAATAATAATAATAATAATAA